TATTGTAGTATTGCTTGTATAGCACTTTGTAGGTGTTGAAAATGTTGTTAAAAATGGAATTTGTTATTGTTGTTGACATGGTACTCAAAACCAACTGAAGAGAAGAAAGAAAAAAACTCCATGCTTGGTCAGCCTTTTTCTCTCGCTCCCACTGTTTCACTCCTCACTTCTCACTTTGTCTTCGTCGAAACATTTGTCTTCTCGTTCTGACTCAGTTTCCTTCGTGGGCGCGTTAAGGAGCTGCTCAAATGTCATGAGCTGTCAGGCTTGCTCATCTTTCCAGTCTTATCTTGAAAAGGAAGCGAGAGGAACAACATTGTAAGGGGGGAAAAAAAACAATCACAGTTGGCAGCGGTTGCTCTAAGGAACCAAATGTTTTCCACTACATTTAATCGAGAAGTTGTTGAAATTGTTAATTTCATTATCTTTATCTCAGTAATTGAAACTAATTTTTTTACAGACCTTCTTTCATAGAATCCTGTTTATTTATTTTTTTGCTGAATTTGCCTGCAGCACTTTTATGCAACCATAATGAAACCTGATTTCCTGTGGATTTTATCTGTCTTGTCTTTTTCACTTCCATTTGGATTATACTGATACCTATCTGCCTAATGAATATTGAAATACATAATTTGATAAATCTGTTAAAAAAGATTCATTCTGTTAGTTTGTTCAGTGCTGGTACAGTAGCTATAAATAAGGAGAAATCTTTCTTGTCGTGTTGCTGCTACGGTTGCTTGCTGTTGCTGCTAGTATTTTCTTTTTTGGAAACAAAAACTCTCCTCTTACATATACATGAGTCATCAGGCAAACCTTCCTATATTTGACACTTTTTTTTTTTTTACATGAAGGTCTGAATGCAGCCTCCTCGGTACTTGAGAACCCGTAGGAGCAATTGAAGTGGTCTGTTGTTACTTACATCACCTTCACATTTTAATGAAATAATGTCTCAATACATTTTTGTCTCTGTTCAGAAAGAATCTAATCATGCACTTCAACCGCACACCCAGAGATGTGCCGTGCAGTTTATAATCATACGTTTTCCCATCGTGCGCCTATTGCGTGTTCGCATGAAACATGACAAAGATTGGCAGTTTGAATTGGCAGTCTTCTTTGTGTTGGTTTTCTGAAGGCTCTGTTCCCTGCCTTTTGGGTGTATTGTTCATTCTTGCTCTTCTCATTCTTCTTTTCTATGGCAGATAAAAGTACTGACTCAGTAATGGACCATTAGCATTGTGCTGGATCCGTCTCTTATGTAGTCATCATTACCGAACCACATTAGACATGGAAACTAGTCCTGAGAAAATCCATTTAGCGAGAGCCTGGCATGGCCTGCTGAATTTTCTCTGTAAAGGCTATCTGTAGGTGCAGTGCTGTGGGCGCCTCTGGCTGATATCTGCATTCAGTAGATTTATGCTCTCTTGGTGTGGTTGCATAGTCTGAGCCAGTGAGGTAGGCTCTCTTATCTGTGGGCTCAGACCAGATGATGAAAAAAGCACTTGGCGCAACTTTACAGCTACGCTCACAGGGGACCACAGCAAAGGATTATAGAGTTAGCAACACAAGATAAAAGTTTATGTTATGAGTCTTTAATCAGAACTTTAACGCTACTCCGATTATTTTAATTTCAGAAACGGCTTTTACTTCCGTTGAATATTAAGATGAATGCTTTGCTTTGCATGTCTTTGTCCTGACTGTTTTGCGTATTGCTTACCCAGATTTATTATGCAGATCTAGAGTAACCTTCCTCGTTAAGCCTTAATGCCAGCCATTCATTACCTCTGGCACAGAGACTAATGACACTATTAATCAGCTATGAATAGAGTTTGGCAGTGGCAGTGGGAGGCTGACACCTCCTTACTGTAACAATCCTAGGCATGCATGTACAAGACAGATTGTCAGAAGGACACCGAAAACTGCTCAGCATGTCAATTACCTACAGCTGACAAGGTGTACGTAGATGGACACTACATCTAATGGTTTTTATATGCCTTCCCTTTGCCTATCCCACAATGCAACAGGGTTTTCTCTTTCTCTGACCTGACACTGATTTCAGGATTATTTTTTTTTTACCACCGGTGTGGTGTCCCTTACTGCTTCAAAGAGGAGAGACATCTCAGCGCCTTTGTTCTGAGATTCGCACCGGGCAAGGGCACAAAGTGTCAGTGAGACAGTGTGCCCTGTTTCCAGTGCCACTTTCAGTAATTCCCTCTGACCTCTGAGAAGCCCTTCTCTCTGTAGTAGCACTCAACCTTTATCTGCTCTCTTTTTCTTCCCTGAACAGGGCACTTAAAACATTCCCCTGCTACAGTGCAGTATTTCTCTAGCAACACAGCCAACAAAGATAAGGTTGGGTTTTGTTTCTGAAGAACGTCTACACATACATGTTGAAAACATTGACTTGACTCGTTCTGTCTCAATCAACAAGTGGTGGCTCGACTCCAGACCAATGCACGACGGACTAACATGAAACATGTTGTGGAGACTCGGGAACTTGTCCTACTTTTCTGGTGTAGTATTGTTCGCTCATTTAAAGAGAAGGAAAGGGGCTTTGCAGGGAAATCTGTTTTCTGATCCGTCAGCTCTTCTTAATGTTACACTAATGGTGATGCGCGGTGATACATGTTTTATTTGTGAGCTAGTAGGGCCCTTCTGGTTATTGAGATGTGCCACCAAATCCTCCTATGGCACAATCAGTTTGTTCACTTAATTTCGAAATTCTTAATTTCATTATCTTTATCTCAGTAAGTGAAAGTCATTGTTACAGACCCGCTTTCATAGAATCCTATTTATTTATTTTTTGCTGAATTTGCCTGCAGCACTTTTATGCAACTTTAATTTTAAAGGGGCAATATCTGATTTCCTGTGGATTTTATCTCATCTATGTCTTGTCTTTTTAACTTCCATCTGGATTATAGTGATACCTATCTGCCTAATGAATAGTTGATTACATAATTTGGTAAAATCTGCCAAAACATATTCATCCTGTAGTGCTGCTTATCCAGCTATAAACAAGCAGAAGTCTTGTGTCCATTTTCAGAGTTTTTCACAATAGCTATACCACTGCTTACTTTTACCTGCTACTGTTGCTAGTATTGATTTTTCTTTTTTAGCTTTTTTAGCTTTTTGTGTGTGTGTTTTTTTCCCCCCTTTCTGTTGTTTTCTGGAAACAGTTAATTGATTCCAGCTGTCCTCTTATAAATACACATATGAGCCACCATGCCTTTCTATTATAGAAGAGTTTTTATATGAAGGTCTGAATGCAGCCTCCTGGGTACTGCTCCCTCTCTGTCTGTCTGCTGCTGCCACCACAAACACGAGCAGCAAGATGCCTTTGGTCATAGATGTAACAGTTATGATTAGTTAATGTTAGTGGGCGTTTGGGTCTACAGTTCCCAGTGTTAGATTTAGTATTGTAGCATTTTTTTTTTTTGGATGTATTATTGCGAAGATGAACGCTAATTTGTGGCAGTAATTGCTGTGTATTCTCACTACATGCTCTCTCATCAGCAAAGAGGTTTCAAGCTTTTGTTTATCCTGTGAGCCTGGTTATGGTTGTTGATGTTGCAATAACCCCATCGCCAGTGGATGTGAGACACCAAAGTGTTGTGCTTTTTCTGTATTGTGTGTATGTGTGTGTGTGTGTGTGTGTGTGTGTGGCTGTATAAATGAGGATAATTGTTCAGCATCTGGTAATTTACACTGCAGTCAGAAAGAATTTGCACAATGTGTTTTTTATTGTTGCTGGCTCGATTCCAGTCGGCGGGATTTGAGATGAAACAGTGATTTTGTGCTGACTTCCAGCTTCAAGGCTGTTTCGAGGTTATTGACTTCCCCAATTTTTTTAAACAATGATCCTAAACATACAGACAAGACAACCAAGGGGTCTTTTTTTTTTGTTTTTACTATCAAACACTGGAAAAATCTTGACTGACTACATCAGTCACCTGGTGTAAATCTATTTGAGCACGCACTGTGTCTGACTTTGTGAAGACCAGACTTAAGGCAAAAATCCCCCGAAACAAAAAGTGCAGCACAGGCCCTCCAGAGCATCGCTAGTGGAGATTCATATTATCTGAATATGTCTGTGAGTTAAAGCTATAGCCACATATTAACTTTTGCAACTGAATATTATATAAGATGAATCGATGTAGTTTTGATCGTGTGATTGTATCAGTTTATCAGACAGGAGCTATTATTCCTCGTCTACTATTCCAGTCAGCACAACACCTCCATAGTAATTGTTTCATTTTAAATCCAAGAGGCTGAAGCTGCAACCAAAATTTTCTTTAAAAAGTGTCACTAAAGTGCGCTGAGTGTACTCAGTCAGCGACGCGGAGCTGCAGCTAAAACTTGTCAGAGGTTTGTGCAGATGCAAAAGGTCAGTTCTTGACAAACAGGATTTTTTTTTTTTTTTCCGGTGTGTGCGTGTGAGTGACAGAGTGAGAGTTTATGTACAGAAAAGTGCGTTGGGAACGTGTAATTCTTTGGAAGAAAATACCAGCAAATTCTCTGTATCACTGCAATCACAGAAGTCAGTGAACTCTGGAAATTTGAAATGTAGACAAATATTGAAAGCCAAATTAGCAGTTAGTCCACATGCCGTGAACGCCAGCGGCTGTTCTGCATTTTAACGCACTTCCTCTAGTAATAATACGCTATTTGCACTCTACACTTGCCCTGCTCCTTTTTGTGTATTTCAGCTTTACCTTCCAGTCAATTTCCCCGACCTACAAACAAATGGAAATGTCATACATACTGACATTCTTTCCGTACGGTTTTGTTTTGCCCACTTGCCAGACAAATGGAAAGCAGATCTTGCTGAGCCTGACCNTGCCCCTCCCCGGCTCCCTTCACCCATCCCACCATCCCTCCCTCCCTCCCTGCTCCCTCTCCTTCCTCCTCCTCCTCCTCCTCCTCCTCCCAACCCAAAGACGTAGCCCTGCCCTCTTCCCCTCCCCCCTCACTGACTCCTAACACTACTGACCATGTAACGCCAGGCTCCGGAGGTGTAGCCAGTCCAGCAGGGCCCACCCCCTCTGCTCCCCGAGACGTCGTGGCTTCACTGGTTTCCACCCGCTTCATCAAGCTGACCTGGCGCCCCCCAGCTGAACCGCATGGAGACGAGTTAACCTACTCTGTTTTCTACAGCCAGGAGGGCACGAGCAGGTAGTACACACACTGTGCTGTAGTACTGCCTGGAGGGTACAAATACACACATTACTACTGGCATCAACAAGGTACTAATATACAACCATGCCTGTGCAGGAGTCTAAGACCACTTCGAGAGTATCTAATTAATGCAGTTAGAGCTCTTATCATGGCAGTAAGTGTTCATTAATTAAAAACAAACTTCCTTCCCTAAAGGATTACCTTTTTTAATTTTGAAGTATAAACAAAAAAAAAAAAA